AATTTTGCAAATTCGCTATGCTCGTTGTGTTGGGGAAAATATGAATGGAAAGGACATCATCTGACAAAGCAGAACATCGATTTTGATTTGAATGGTATTTAAGCCGCACTCTACCTTAAAAAAATGAAAAAAAACGACCAAAAAAATTCGGCATTACGGAATGGTTCACTTTAGTCATTATAATTAACTATTTTATAAAAACTCCTTTTCTAGTGAAGGCTGATAGCTTTTGACTTTTCTGCTGTTTATGAATATTCGGCATAATCCTTTTTCTAGTGGTACCAAAAGATATAGACTATGGTTCTGGAAATTAGAACGATTTAGACTTTAATGACAGTCCGTTGTTCTATCCCCGTACGCTACAATATTCTTTTACAGGGACAAAAAACGATGTCTTTAAAGCGTAAAAATCGTTTCCAACTAAAAAGGTTACTTTCTATCTAATGCACAGATTTTCTTGCGAAAAAAACCGTTTCAGCGCCTTCCAGAACGATGTCAAAAACATGCATGAGCATGGTACTTTGAAAACTCGTAATTAAGACCAGGGAAAGAGAGGCTGTAATGAATAGGCTGTGGGTACTTTGCCCATGCTATCCATGGAAAAAGTTCCAGCCATTAAGGAGTGTAGAGCTCGAAAAAATTTAGATGCTACTCTTGCAAATTTAGATGCGATCCTAAAAAGCAAAAACTGGGATTTTTAAGCTTGAAATTTTGTAACTTACCGGAGAAGTTATGAAACAGCCTAAAATCTTAGTGATAGAAGCAGGAGGGTGGACTTGTATTATAGCCAAATTACAGCGAGCATGCCTCCGTAGCGGTGAAAAAATTTAGATGCAACTCAGATACGACTTTTTTTTCGTTTTTTGTTACTTGTTGTTTTTCCCATATATAAAATTGTAAAAAAATCAACAGGTTATAAAATATAACCAGTTTTTGCACAACTGTAGCAGGGCACCTTCAAAGCACAGGTAAATTGTATGGGCCCTGGAAAGACATAACAAAAAGTTTCAAAAATTATCGAATGTGATCGCTGGTAGGGATAAGCGCTTTGATCGAGAGTGTGAGACTTCAGTGATGCTTCGGAACCAGCATTTCTAGGCCAATTGGTACATTTGACATTCTTGCCACTCATATATGCCTAGTGTTTGAGCTTCTGAAAGTGTCTTCAGAATCCTCGGTTATACTTATGGCCAACAAGTTCGATCCCCGTCTGCGACACCATTTTTGCAGGGCGAAAAATGCTGTTTTTTGAAGAGTAGAGAATGTTTGCTACTGAGAAGCTTATTTCCTACTTTCCAGATGTTTTTAATTCGGACCACCCTCTCTTACTACCCCTCCCCCATCGGCGGTGCCCCCTTTACGACCCACCGTTGCGATAGTCGCATCACACGCTTGACCTCGGTTCAAACCAAGAAATTGGATTCTGCGAGGTTGTCGGCGTAAAATTAGAGGTCAAGAGCTTCAACATGATATACAGTTTGCGAAGATTAAGCTCAGCACAATGAAGGAAAAATGCCAGCCAAATGCCCCGTGCTCCGCGTTTGTGGTCACGAGGTAGCGCAACGCACGGAGACGCAAAAGAACAGAGGAGAAAGACCAGAGCCGACCGGCATTTGCCTCTGGTCGTAGATCTCCTGAGATCTCAACAAAACCCCAACATTATACCTTATTGTGATCGTCACGACACGACGGGAAGCACTGTCAACGTCGCAAGACTTGAAAATTACTCCTTAGTGAAATAAATCAGCGATTCTCTGCGCGAAAGTTGGGCGTTTTTTTGATTTTTATTGAGTTACCTCTCGTTAGTTCATGGGACTTATTTTTAGTTCAAAAAAAAAAATCAGTTGAGAAATGTTGTTCTGCATGCCATGGGATTTTACACAAAACCTTGTTTATAGCTCAAGGAAGGCTGTCTAAACGCAGATATTCTTTACTACACTTACTTTGTTCAAATCGTTCAGATATAGTTATAATCTTACCATCTCGGGCTTTGCCCTGGATGATTTTATTTTCGAAAGACTGTGTTTTTTATATTGCTCAATGTGAAGGTCATCAGAGTATATGACACTGTGTATCGAAGATACGGGCCTGACCAACAAATTCAAAAACAGGTACCACGCAAGCTTCGGTTCAGCAATGTTTTTCAATGTCGTGCAAAATTTTACGATGATACAACTTATTGGTTGGCGTTCCTGCTTGCCCCTATTGATTTATTACTTCGCTCCTCTATCCAGAGTAAAAAAACAGTTGTATTGTCTTCGGACCATTTTTTCACTCATCCCATCATAAGCGAACTACAAGCATTATTATCACTTCAATATCAATGGCGGACATGGAGGAGAGAGCCCCCGCTTCGGGAATGGGTAGCAAATTTGAAAATTATTTACTTGGGTTATAAATTGATGTTGCTATATGTTGCTTATTTTTGTGAATAGTTAGAATAATTCTTCAAGTTTTCAAAAACGCAGCTTTTGTTGCCCAACACCAAACACCGTATGTTTGAGCTACCCAGCATTCAATATAACGTGAGTCTGAGGATGGGTATAGCCGCGTCTATTGTATTGAGAACTTACTTACACAATTTACACACAAACTACAGTGCTTACATCCTCTACTTACATAAAGCAGTTTTCCGACTTTTTGATAGCTTAGCTCACTACTTATGTATTACAAAGTGCGAGTGTAAGGTTCTGCGAAGCATATGTAACCTTTTATGAAAGGAGAAGGACAGATAAAGATTACAAAAAAACCTCCTCTAGCTGACTTATTCTCTACACCTCAAACCTTCAATTCTATTAGGTTGGTGCAAAAGTAATCCGCTCATATCACCAGGGGCACAAAAATTTGGATTGATGAGCAAAAAAGTTTTTTTCAAAACCCTTTTCTAACTGATCATAACTCCTTTCAAAATTTGTTGGTGTCGATGACAACTATCCTGGCTCGTAGCAGCAAGCCAGTAGTACAAAAGTCGAAAAAGGTTGAAAGAAAGAAGAATTGCAAAGAGGAAAAAAATTAATATTCAAAATTGTCCGCTTTTTTCGAAAATTTTGTGGGCCAAAATCCCAAAATATGGAGATTTTCAATTTTTTGTGTACTGAACAGCTTCCACATCTCTGCAAAAACTGTCAACAGGAGGACCACCCTTACGCTTACAGAGATGAGCAAAACCAAGCGATAACCCTCTTCAAAAAAAAATCTATGGGCCACAGAATGCCCAAAACCTCTACTCATGTTAAGGCGCCGAAACCTCAATCTAGGTTATTTCTAAGAAAATAGTAAAGTATGCGTAATGTAGACAATTTTTGTTACACATAACTGTTAAAATTTCAAAAGTGCACCTTTATCCGCGCTTGAATTCTGGCCGAAAAAGTAAGTGCAAAGAAATTCTTGTTTCGAGTGCGGTTGTATGAAACTCTATTAACTTCTAACGAATGAGTTTGGAAGCTCCTTTTAAACGCCATCAAATAGAGCATGAAAGGAAAAAAAATAAAAACTTTTTGAAAATATATAATTTTTATCCGAAGGAGAAAGTTTGATGGAGAAACGTTGTCCTGAAACAAATGCTAGAAAAACGCGCATTACTTTTGCACCAACCTAATAGAATCAGGTGACTGCATGTAGATTTCCAAGGAAATTGCTGTTGCAATGTAAGGCCAAATGATCTAAGTTATCCAGTTTGTCAAGCACGGGATGAGGCCGAACGTATGAGTGAATTGGTGCGCTCGCTGGGGTTGCGCTGCATATCCGCACTGTCAGACTGGAGAGAGCAGGAAAGTAGTCCGAAGACGTGACGAAAATTTCTAACAACGCTTACTCCTGCCACGCCGATGTGGATCTGACTGGGATTGGGACAGACTCTACTAAATCTGTGAGGCACAAAAATTTCCTCAAATTTCCACAAAGAGTTGTCAAGGTTCTACAAACAAGAAAGTGGAAAACTTCGAAAAATCTGCTCTTCGCTACATAAAGCAATATACTTGTCTGCTTCACTCCAGCACATCTGATTTAGCTTCCTTTATGTGTAATTGAGTATGAGAAGATCAAGCGCTGTAGTTTTGAGAAAAGAAAAAAGAGAGGGAGGAATAAAATAGTAGGTTTGCAGCTGATTCATTTTCAAATCTCATATCTTTTATTGTTACTTACAATCGCAGAAGTCAACTCTAACAGCAAGCAGGATTTTTACCAGTCATTTCATTTTCTTCATAACTTTCTGGTCACAATAAACCTCCCAATGGAGGTATTCCCTTTGGCCGCAGTGTTTTTCTTCATGGGTCTCTCGGTATTTCCCTTATAGTTATTTCTTCCAGAGGATGTATTCTTCCCTCTGACTTTATATTCTGCAAAATATCTTTTTTTGGGACTTTTGAAACTCCACCTAGCGGAATTCTTCCCTGCTGCAGTTCTCGGATACCTCTTAATACCACTTGGTGCGGCATTCTTCGACCACATGATTACTTTTGGAGTATTCCAGCCAGTCATGTGATTTTCCCTAGGGTATGTATTCTTTCTCACAGCATTATTTCCTGCAAAATATCTTTTTTTGGGACTTTTGAAACCCCACCTAGTGGGATTCTTCCCTGCTGCAGTTCTCGGATACCTCTTAATATCACTTCGTGCCGCATTCTTCGACCACATGGTATTTACTCTTAAAGTATTCCAGCTAGTCATGTGATTTACCCTAGGGTATGTGTCCTTTCTCACATCATTCCTCCCTGCGAAAAATCTTCTTCGGGTACTTTTGGAACCCCATCCGGAATTTTTTCTTACTGTAATTCTCGGATATCTCTTAGTTATACTCCGTGCAGCACTCTTCGACCCCATGGCATTTGCCCTGAGAGTATTCCAGCTAGTCGTGTGATTTACCCTAGAGGATGTGTTCTTCCTCACAGCCTTATTCCCTACAAAAGGTTTACTGTATAGATTGTTGGAACTCCAAACAGCGGGATTCCTCTTTGCTACTTTTCCTGGATTCCTCTTAAAGATAGTTCTGGCGGCATTATTCATCCATATGGCAGGTCTTCCGCGAGTAGTCCTGGCATCCTTCTTATATATCCTAGCAGGTGTATTCGTCCTCCTGACATTTTTCCTTTCAAAATATCTTCTGTAATTATTGAAACTCCGAGTAGCGGGATTCGTCCTTGCTGCATTTTTCGAATTTCTTTTGAAGGTAACCCATGTTTTTCCTGCTGCATTTCTGCTTTTCCCATTAGCTGTTCCCACGATCAAGGCAAGTAATTGGTCAATCAAATGGATGGCATTTATACCCCAACCATTACTAGTGTTTTGAACATTTTGCCTCAGAGCACTCCATGGGTTCATCCTAATGCTATCTTTGTTAATAATGTTCTTCCTATTCTTCCTCTTAGCGATGACACTGTTTGTATTTATCGAGCACTTGTACAATGTATTGATGTTATTAATGTCCGATCGGGAAAAGTACTTTCGTATGTAGGGTTTGAAATTATTGAATGGGTAGTGCATGACTGATTCTACATCGTATTCACCCATGTATTGTGCCTCAGCTCTCGAGTAAGCGTATCGAGTATAGAAATCGCGATTGGGATCTGGATCACGAGGGCCTCCAGTAACGCGTGGATCGCGATCCTCTCTGCAAAGATTTTTCTCGAGCTCACAAACGCAGAAGAAGCTAAAGTATTTTATATAGCCACCTTTGATGTTCGTGATGAAAACCGATACTATGCATTAGTTCATGAATCATAGCTGGCCTGTTGAAGCATTGAGGATCCATATTCAAATCAGTAATGAACTTGCCCTCATTTGTCCGATGAGAGGAAGTATCCCGACCGACGGTGCTATAACACCTGAAGAAAAGGTAGAATATCTAGAATGGTATACAAACTGACACTTACCATTTCCTGGGAATTCCAGAAATTAACAGGTAATACATATCACGTTCTGTTCGCTTCCGGAATTTTATGCATGTATGTTTTTGAAACGCATTCATTGCATATCGTACGACTTCTCGTTGAGTAACATTCAAATATGGTACGAGTTCGTATGGAACAACCGCTCCGGGCCAGATACTAAAACATAAGGTAAAATTAAGATTCACAAGGGGCATTGCAGCAAATTCAAGCGAGGAGGTAACCTACCCTGCATTATTAGAAAAAAGCGCAAGCCCTTTGAAATGCTTACGTTTAACAGCGTTCGCACTTCTTTTTTCACCTTTATCGGTCTCTGCAATTACTATTTGTCAGAATAAACTTTTGCGACAGGAATTTTTAGAATTGTAACAGACTCAATATGTGTGCAAGTGTTATCCAAAGTGCTTCAAAAAAGAGAAGCGTTTTCTCAAAAAATTGTACATAATTTCTCTCTTCCTCAAAATCCCTCATGCTTTCATTTGCAACTGAAAGTGAAAATAAGTACCGAGCAGGTTTCTCGGTAGATATCGTGTGCTTGCAAAGCGGCAGCATTTGAGCTCGAACAATTGCCGCAGAGCAAGACGTTCCAGGTAAGCTCAGTATTTTCTTTGCTCTCATTCTTCACTTTTTACGTATGCCTCAATCAATCAAGAGTGAAAGTAATTAGAAAGCAGTTTTTGTTGTTTTGACTGATTATATTGTGTTCGCCCGAAAGTTCTGTCGCACCACTTTCAAAATTCGTAACTTTCTGTTGTTGAACCAATTTGCATGTTTTTACCTTGAGATGAAAGAGCAATTCAGTCTCTTTATAGGGTCGCCTTAGCAGCTTTTTGTTAAGCATGCTTTGCATAGATAGAAGCGGTAGAAAATTACTCAAATTTTGAATTTTCTGTGTAAGGTCATTGTTGTGTTAGTATCTGATCAGTTGTTTTCTCGTATGATCTGCCCTCGCTGAGGCGCCTGCGACCTCAATGCGCGGGAAATGAGCGCTATAAAAAGCGCTCGTTATTAGCTATTGTCAGTTCAGTTCAGTTCTACAGTTCGTCTGTTCGTTCATCTGCCTCTCTTATTTTGCTGTTCTATTATTTTCTAATAAATATTCTGGTATTCTCTGTTCCTCGTGTGCCGCCCAACGGACGAAGATACAAAGAAGTGTCCGAAACTAAGGGACACAACAGTCATAAAAATCTGCAACTCGCAGTAAAAATTTAGCTATCAGTATTATAGGTCCTGTTACCTGCTCTTTCTAACTGTAAAAAGTTTGCGTTGATTGAGCGTCTCTTTGAAAAGTTATGATTTTCAAGCAAGCAATACAAAAGGGCAAATTTGATTTATTTTGGCATTTTCTCGACAATCATAACCTTTTATAGAGACGTTAAATCAAAGCAAACTTCTCACAGTTAAAAAGAGCAGGTATTAGAACCTTACTGACAGCTCAGATTTTCACTGCAAGTTGCAGAGTTTTTATGACCTTGCACAGAAAATCCAAAATTTGAGTAGTTTTCTTCTACCGCTTCCATCTATGCAATGTATGTTTAAAAGAAAGCCGCTAAAGCACCACTATAAAGAGAATGAATTGCTCTTTCATATAAATATGAAAACTCGCAAATCGATTCAAAAAACCAGAAGTTATGAATTTTTGAAGGATCGACAGAACTTTCGGGCCAACCTAATATCTTGGTTAGTTTTGTATGTTATGAAAGCTGTATTTCATGTTAGTGAAATGCAGCTTTCATAGCACAACACAAAGTCTTCGTCACTAGTGCTCTCTTTCAACTTTTTCATTTCAAAAAAACGTTTCTTTACCACGCTAGTAATTTTCTTCAAACTCAAAGTACTCATTGATAGTAGATCTTATACCCTAATCTGCTCACCTGAAAGTAACATCGTCTCTCAATGTTTTCTAATAAAAGAACGGCGAAGCTTGTTGAAACCTACTGAAATTGTAAAGAAACATTTTTGATAGAAAAAGATGAAGGACAGGATTAGTCACAAACAGTAAATGTGATACAGCTATTAAGGTAGGTTTGAACTCAAACGGCAATATAACTATTCAAAATGATTAAAGCTGTTTTCCTACTTACCCTTTAACTCCTCGCCGATTAAGGCATGCCTAAAAAGTGGCGAATGAGAGCAAAGAAAACTCTGAAATTACTTGAACTTCTCGTTCTGCGCAATCGTTCACGTGCAAATGCTGACGGTTCTGCCTGCGCTATATTTACTGGGAAAACTCTATTGTAGGACCTGCTTCGATATAGCCTTTGAAATGTGGATCAAATCTCACAGTTTCCATTTTACCCTATGACCACAGAGGCGTTATTTTTTTTTCAAATTTGTGTGGGTTATAAAATTGTGCAAATGACTTATCTGCACTTGTAAATATTAGGTTGGTAATGAGCGTTTTTCCATTCTTCACTTCAACTTGCTATAACTTTCTACAAATTCTACATTTTGAAATGTGATGAAGACCATCAAATGCAGCGAACCTTTCGCAGTACAGCGCACATTGAACTATATCATATCTCATATGGGCAGAAAAATATGGACTCAAAACAAAAAGAGTTTTTTTCTGAAGCCTTGATTTTGACAGAACATAACTCCTTTCACACTTTCTTCTTTTGATTTATAAGCAGCCTATCTTGTAGCCGCAAGCCAGTAGTACGGATATACATGAAAGCGGCTTGGAGAAAAAAGATTAGCGAAGAGGGAAAAAACGAAATTCAAAAATATCAACTTTCTTAGCAATTTTTTCAGTAGGCCTCAAATCCCCGAAGTAGAGAATTTTTTAATTTTCTGCGTACTGAAAAGCTGGATGTTTTTGCAAAAAGCGCTGGGATGGGACTCCTGCCCTCACTCTTACAGAGTTGAGCAAAGTTTGAGCGACTGCATTTTATAAAAGAAAGTTATGGGCTCTAAAATGGCCACAACCATTACCTATGTTAAGCCGCCGATATCTCACTATAGATAACTTTCTTTTATAAAATGCAGTCGCTCAAACTTTGCTCAACTTGAAAAAATATAGTTGAATATGCATAATGTAGACAATTTCCATTACATATAGCGGCTAAATTTTCGATAAACCACCTTCATTCGCGCTCAAATTCTGGCCAGGAAAATGAATGCAATGAAAATCTAATTTTGAATGCGATTATGTGAAGCTCTATAAATTCTTAACAAAGTGGGATAGAAGTTCCATTCGAACATCATCAGATAGAGCATAAAAAGAGATTTCTAACAGTGTGCTGAAACCGTCAAAAAGAAAGACGTTTGATGGAGAAAAGTTGTCCTGAAAAAAGTCCTAGGAAAACGCTTATTATTTTTGCACCAACCTAATATTAGGATGTCTCATAATTTTTTTTACCGTTTTTACTGCAACCGCCGTCTTTTCTTATCTATCCTTCATCTGGTGCGGCTTGAACAATCATTCGACAGGGCAAAGCAAGCTCTATAAGATGGCTATCAAAAGTTTGCCTAAATCATATCCCACGTGAAGTTTGGAGTTGAAATTTGATAGTAGTCGAGAACGAACTTTCCTTTCAAAAAATGTATCTCCAACCCGAAATATCCAAAAAATTTTCCATTTATTCTAGCATAAGCTTGACACATTGCATATTCAATTATACACAATTTTTTCCATTGTTAGAAACAAAGAAAAAAATGAATGAGGCAAAATGGCAAACTCCGCCTCTAGACGTCCTGAGCTCCTCCCACGCATGTGGTCATATAGCTTATACATACGGAAGTACGATCATGTATTTGGATTTTTTGTAGGTGCCCTGATTCTCAAGAAATGCTGATGTTTGGGGTAAAAACGGTAAAAAATTATGAGACACCCTAATAATTGGAATAATTTTTAGTGTCTTTGAAATTTAGCCTTATAAATCCGAAGTTCTGAACCCGCGAAAACTATAATGAGCATACCAAAAAATTTTTCGGAGTGCGTGGCTGACGCCGCGCAAATTCACTGGAAAAAATTTTTTGTCCCCCCCCCCCCTCCGAGCCAGAATCCTGGGTACGCCACTGCTATTGAGTAATGATAAGAAGAAATGTTTTCAGTTCACAGTGTGTAAATAATCAAAAGGCTCCGTTTTGTTCCTACCTTTATACGGAGTGAAAGTGTTCAAAAACCTTCTCCGGAACACCTTAGTAACTAAGGAATGTAAAATTCAATTTTGAAATACTGAGAATTGTATTAGAGTAAAAGTATGTACATGAAATGTTTACGAAGCACTAGGAAATTGAGTAAGTAAGGAAAGAAGCCATTAAATATAGGATTGTGTTACACATGATTCTATTATATTAGGTTTTCAAATGTTCTTCTTGTTTTCTCAACCCATCATAAAAATAGGTACACAAAAGCAGGCAAGAGTTTCGAACAATATCCGACGCAACTTTTCTTCCTCTTTATAACGTTTGTGCTCTTGTTCTTGTGCTAACTACTCTCTGAGCCATTGAAGTGATCGGCCAAACTCTGACCTAGTGGTTTTTACAATGATCAACTTCGGTCATTTTTCAATGTCTTTTTTTTGAACTTTTATGAAACCTTAAATAGGTAAACGAAGTGCAAATGCAAAGCAATTTTTGGCATCTTTAACTGGAAACCATGGGTTCAACATTTCTGCAATTATCTTACGATTAGTAATCTCAAGAGCAAACGGTAGCGGAGCACATCCGCTAAAAAGAGGAAGAAAAGCTGCACCGAATAGTTCTGACATGCTTACTTATCTTTACCTCACGCGTTTTTATGACTTAATCGAAAAAACGAAAAGTTCTTAACGACCTAGTAGGTGTTCCTTGATAATAAATTTATCGAAGTTTTATAAATTGCTTACATTCAACTATGCTTTTGATAAATAGACAATAACAATGTAACCTTATATAATATATGAGTTTTTGTATACAACCAATTATGCATTGATAATACTCAAGATGAACCATACCCATACTTGGAGAATTTATGAATGGACTTGCACTGGTGGAATTGTATCAAACATAAATTATTCACAGTTCAAAATGCATAGTATAATTTGTATAACAGTGCTGGACATAGCTTTAATTACCCTAAAAATCATCGTATTTTGTACTATTTTGAACGAAATTGTTGAAAAGCCAATATTTTGTGCACGAAGCAACGTCATGCAATTAGTCAGAACAGCCTTCACTTTCATTGATTTTGGCCTGAGAAAAATCGAAAAAACAGAAGGCTGGTCACAGCAAAACCATTTTCGATTTTCAAAACCATTTACTACATTCTTTGAATCCAAAGCAATTTGCACATTTGTAGCAATAAAAGATGAGATACTTTTTACATCT